GCAGACATTTTGAATGGTTTTTTATTCTCACACAAGTGGACAGAATATTTTGATAGCAAAGTAACGATGCCGGCTTTGCTTTGAGCCAAACCAAAGCGCATTCCTGGAATTAAAAAAGTAATAAACAAGTTGATGAAAAAAAAGTAACAATTCAGCTAAATGAATTTCAATTTAGTATAAAAACGAGTTTATTTCGTCTTATTTGAATGCTTAACCCGCCAACTGATAAATTTGGATTAAACAATTTCCACTTTCATAAAATGGAAAAGTTTTAAAAGTCATTTCACAAAGCTATAATTGAAAGTATTACTTTTTATAATTTCAATAGCTCTTCTTACCTGGACACATACGCGGACCTTCACCAAATCCCAAAAACATACAGCCATGCGTTTTTTCATTTTGATTCAAAAATCGTTCAGGTTGAAATTGCAAAGGTTGTTCATACAAATCCGCATCGCTAGAAGAATATGAATTTTAATATGAAGGTATATATTTTTAATGAAATTGTTATTATTGATGTGGATCTCCATATAGCATGCGTATAAATCTAATATAAAAATTTGTATGGCAGCACCTACAAATCAACGCATGAAAATTTAAGAAAGTTGTATGAATTTTAATTTCTAAGCGTAAATATCAAATGCACGTATACGGATACGCATAATAAGGAGATCCGCCTTTAATTTCAACGATTGGTTTCCTTTCGCCCATCCGCACGAGGGGCGCAATCCGCATGACGTACGCAACTTTTTTTCATTTTACGTGTCGAGATCTACTTAATAAGGTACGAAACCAAATTTATCAGCTAAATATTATGTCTTTATGTTAGTCAATCATTTATTAAGTGAGAATAGTATCGCTTTCTTAATGCTGAAAGGCAAATCTAATATAAATACCAAGCGTGAGGAATGAGAGTTAAAATCCTGTCATAAGCAATGGAGTGGTTCGTGCAATTTCAAAAATGGTTTAACAAGCTTTCTCAAATAGGGGACAAAAGTGCGTTGATACACGAGAATTTAAATATTTTTTATGTACTTAATTGAAACTTTTTAACACCTTGGAATACACTAAAGTACACGCTAAAATGACAAAAAAAAATAAACAACGACGAGACACGTAAACTTAATTTTGGTTCGTAGAATACGGATCTTTGAGCCGTTTCTCTAGATCATTTTCACAATGTATTTTCATTTTAAATTTGCATTACGAATGGAAAAGATCAAAGATGGAAAATGTTACTCATACGCCATGTACGAGTATGGCCATGGACGACATGGCGTATGAGTAACATTATTTCCTACTACTATTTCATAAAAAAATTATTGCGCATTTTAATTTTACCATTCAAATGTTGTTCATCGGTACTACATAGTTTGATTTTTTTGGCAAAAGAACAGGCATTAATACAAGTGAAAACAATATAGGAACTATTATTTATTTATTTTTTTATTTTTTTTTTCTTTTACTTATTGTTTTTTTATAATTTTTTCCTAATTAAAATTTGAATTTTTTTTCATGAAAATTAAAACATCTTGTGGAAATAATCAGATCTGTAAAAACGGTACACAGATCCATAATCTATGACTCAAAATTAAGTTTGCATATTTCGGTGTTGCTTTTTTTTGTAATTTCAAAACTTAAGATTTTCCCTACAGTGTTATTAATAGGAATGCTTCATAGAGTTCCCTGAGATTTAGGGCGAAAAGTCTGACTACATCTGTCCATTACTTCTTTTCAGTATGGCCGGGGGATACTGCTTCAACAGAACATTTCGAAGCCTCTATTTTTAAGAATTGTGGGCCACACAATTAGTGGCGAAGACACGGAGGCTCATTTAACTGACCTCCAATTTGAACAGTCTATTCCACTACTATATTCTGCAAAGCCGTGCGACGATTAAGGCACTTGCCTCTCTATGTATTTATTGTTTCCAGTATACAGAAGCGATGCAGATATATGCTAAGATATGATTTTCATCGTATCAGAGGTAGAACCTAAGTTAGATTTCTAGGCAATATTATTCCAATGCAACTTAATAAATTAAAGTTATTATAAACACTACTTCAACCAACCAATCAGAAGCGATCAGTGTTGTCATTTTTTGGGATTTTTTGGGGAATTATTTTCCTATGGTATCTACTAGGAATGAATTTCGGCAGATTTTGGCTACATACTTCCAAATATACCCATGTAGTCAGCCGATTAAATTAAGTAACACTTTGACCAGTCTTGGCTATTTTTATTTTGTCTATTTAATGTTTATAATTATTTTATAAAAGTCTAGCCCATTACTTAACCAGTCAGTAATTCAAAGTTCTGCACAACTAAATGCATGGCTATGTTTAAGTTGACGGCTCTCATCAGTACTCCTCGGGGTATGCACTATCGCATTATCCTGCCTGAACGCTTGGTTTACGATGAAAAATACAAAAATGTGTGTAATAAAACTATGACCAAAAAAAATACCTAAAACGTATTTTTCATTTCTAACCATCAATTTTAATCAAACGAAAATCGAAAAAGCCGCAAAACTCTGCATTAAAATCTGTACAGCTATATTTACATACATACACATATGTACATATATTAGGGCGGCTCAACTTTTATGGGACAGAAGAATTCTACGTGTAATTCTGAGCAAAATTTCCAAAAAAAATCATGGGTCTAAAATTAATTTGCAGTTTGTCAAATGACGAAAGTGGGTTTTTAAGTATTTTGCAGTAGTGTCGTAAAGAAGTGAATAAATTTTGCATAAAAAGATACTATAAAAAGGTTTTTGGTATGAGGAATTCATTTCTGCACTTACCTTTTCTTAAAACTTCCAACAGAGCGCACAACAAAGAATGTAAAAATTATTTTCTTCGAAATCTATTTTCTCAACCTCCAAATTGATTTTAGGGTCATGGTTTCAGCGGCACATTTGCTTAGAATTACACGTAGAATCCCACTTATCTATACGCGCTTTCGCAAAAAAAATGTACCCGCCCTAATGTGCATATTTATACACAAGCGCATATGTATGTATGTATGCAGCCAGGCGTAGTAAAAATTTATAAGTGTCTAAATAGTTTTCCCCTCGAAACTCACTAGTGCACTCCTTTGACTGGTATGACGAAAACCATTCCAACAGGCACCTTGAAAGACTTGCCGCCCATAAACTGCGCTGGTAGCTCAAATTCTTTCGTACAGTGCTTCAGCAGTGCCATCATTGGCGGATAAAGGCGCAAAGTTTCTGCAAAGAAGACCATTTTGAAAATTAATTAAACCGCATAAACGCAGCCGTATTTCACTTTTTGTTTGAATGCAGTTAAATTACGCAAAACATGCATGTATGTATGCAAATGTGCGTAAATATATGACTTACCATAAAGTGTTGCTCCTAGATATGACATTTCCTGAATTGCATCATAGCAAATATCGCCACCATGACGAGCTAGCACTTCGTCTATTTCCTGTTGTACACGTTTTTGTACCAGCGGATTTTTAGCATACTATAGCGAGTAAATGACGTTTAAGGAAATATACAACGATGCTGGTGTATCATTGCAATTTTATACCTCGTGCAAAGCAAATGCCATTAACGAAGATGATGTCTCGAAACCCTCCAATAAAAAAGTGCTACAATGTCCGACGATTGTCGTCGCATCGACGGGCTCATGCAACTTCTGTTTACCCTCAATAAGCCATTGTATGAAATCGTTTGACTTTACACTCACACCCGCTGAACCCACGGACGCGCAACGAATTTCCAACACTTTTCCAATTATCCCTTGCAGCCAGTCTTGAACGCCGGTTGGCACGTAACTGCAATTATGTAGATGCAATATTTAGATCAAAGTGTTCCAGCTTAACGCATCGCTAGCCGCACTTACTGGTATTTTATGAGGTTGCCGAGTTGCGGGGAGAAGAGTAGCGCAATGGTTTCAAGCAAACTCCAGGCATGTGGCAAAAAGAGATTCTCAACAAGTTGCGTAAAGTCCGAATTGGTATTGGTGAGTGCAGCACCGTCAAGACCATAGGCGGCCGAAGCAACCACATCCAGTGTGTACTTGGAGAAAAGCTGCGGAATGCACAACAAACAGATGCTGGTGTACATACATTTATACACAAACGAGTACATACATATGTATGTGGGAATGCACATGCATTAATAATTATGATGTGTAATATTTATGTGCTTTGTTCATTTATTAAAAAGTAGTTTTTACCCTCGGGTTTCACTCCACGTCTTTATACAAATATGAACAATAATTCATGTAAAGATGTTATATTTTATTTCTGCTCCAATTTTACAATAGGAGAATACGGAAGGACAGTTTCTCTATGCCTATAACCTTCCCGGGGTAAAAACAAATAAGTGTGCAAAGTTTCGTGCTATTCCGTGTGGCGGTTCAAAAGTTATAAGGTGATAAGCAAACAGATATTCACATTTATATACTTATTTACTTGATATACATACATCCTTTCCTTCAAAGCAATTACTTGAGTTGAGTATGTGCAGCGATACATATGCGTCAAGTTTTTCACAGATTGATTTGATGTGGTGAAACGATGCTTTGACCTGGAAGTGGAGATTGATTTAAAGTTAAATAGCAGATTTTATCTTTGAAATATTAAAACGAATAGGAGCATGCGATATTTAGCGCTCTAGCGAGATATATAGTCCTTAGCAACCAAAAGGCTTATATTTTTAACTTTACTAAAATTTCTCTTTCACTTGGCATCCAAATTATTATTCCACATTGCACAAAATTTTTTTTAATTATTTTTTTGAATAAATCATATTTTTGACAGTACTAAAAAATCTTGACGTCAGAGAGAAAAACTTAAAATGCAGCATTAAGGCTATACGGAAACTTTTCCTGCCCGATTTGAAATTAATTTTTAATGGCCAGTCTTTTGTGTACATATTTGCAATATTTTATTGTAAAATATATATATACATAAAGAAGGGATATGATACAAATTTAGGTTTTTCAATCCACCAAGGGGCCAAGGGGCCGTGGAGATATGGCGATAAGGAAAAGTGGGTCGCCAGTTGGACAAGGTTTCGAACCACTCATATAAAGCATAAGTTTCAGTATATATTGGAACATTTGTGCTACACATATATCGCGACTTCTCAAAACAGAATTTCAAAACTTTGATTCTAGGCATCAGGATTGGCAGTGTAGCAATCTGTGCATCACGAAGAATGTTTGAAGAAGAATCGTAAACCCTCTTAAAGCAACAATAACTATATTTCACCAGATAACTAAAACTAAAATAGCGAAAGCTCTACCATGTGTAGCTTCTAGTGTTACCAGTATTTAAAAATTATTTGTATGCATAAAATAGTCATGATCGCAAAAAAATACCTCCCTCTACGATTATTTGAAGAGCCTGAAATGATAAAAGTCGTAGCCAAGTTCACCCAATGTCCCGGTTCGAATATACATTCGAGAAAAACTTTATCAGCACTTTCGATTACCAAAGTTAACAGCGATTTATAAGCAAAAATTAAAAGTGAACTTAATGAAGCGTTTGCGGTGTCCTTGATTACCGATGGCTGGACATGTTCTACCAACACAAATTATATTGGTCTTAGAGCTCATTATATTGATAAAAAAAACAAAAGGTTTTGTTCAGCTCTTTTGTGTTACAAATAGTCTATATAGTATTTTAGGTGATGTGAGATATCTTGAATTAGTCAGGGGGTATGGATTTAAATTTAATGGAAGTGGATCTTGGACGGGGTTCTGGTGCGATATAGGGCGAGAAGCCCCACAAAACAAGGAAGCTTTTTTTCGCTTTTTTGTTGTTTTGACTATATTGCTAATATTGTTCGTTCGTTTATTCTCTGTAAATGATAACCTTTTCCTGTTTTGAGGGGGTCATACCTTTCCCGCTTACCCATCACACCAAAACCATGAAAAAATAATTAATCATTTCTACTGAACTAAAAAGTACTGGTACATTCAAATGATTTGAACTAAAATTTACTACACTTCCCAACTTTACAGCGAACCGCGCCGAATTAAAGAAATGCATACAAATTTGCAATCGTAAAATGAATTTAAACCCTGTGCAACGTTCATTCAAATCCGGCATCCACAGCGAATTACGCTACGTGACTGGCAACGGGCCATTTGCCGTACAACATCTACTTTAATTATGTTAAAGATGTACATTTTACCAGCTGGCGTAAAAACGAAAGTCCCATTAACAATAATATCTTAACAGCAAGAACTTAATTTATGCAAATTTTCAGTAAGTCAGTCCATCTCAAGTCACTAAATTTGAGAATATAAATTAGTGACTCTTTTTGACCGGCTTCAAAAAAAGAGGAGGTTATCAATTCGTGAACGGTTTTTGATATCGGGTTTTTTTTTATCAGAAATACTGTGGGTGGTGCCATACTAATTTAGTTTAGATCCGATCTTGGATCATTAAGAAACGGTACTCCCAAATCTGTATATGAACATTGAAGTCGCTTGTTTCTTGCTTAAAAATTACTTATTGTGCATTGGGATGGTTTGTGTTTGCTGTAAAAGCAAGTCGCAAAAAGTTCAGCAAAAATACATAGTTATGTGGTGGAAACAAACAGAGACAGTCAGCTGATTAGTATGTAGCTGGTTCTAAATGCGCGCTTCTCCAACAGTCGCAGTTGCAGTCGAGTGAGCAAAGCAGTAGCGTGTCATTTTTATTATTGTTGTTTTAATTATTCAAATAAAATTCTCTCTTAGTATTTACATTAACATTATTTTACAATTACATTTTATTTTTCTTTCATCTAATTTTTATAATATTTAAGTATTTAGAATAATTTCCTAAAGAAAACAAATATTTCCTAGCTTCAATTATCTGTACCTCCATATTTTTATTTTTGAGACCTGGTCAAAGCCACCTCAGAAAATAGGGACATTTTTCAGACTAAAAATGTGAGGCAGCTTACTGAATAAATATCAAATAGTGCCAAAACCGATGTTCACCACGAAAAGTCTTATTAGTGACTATATATCGTCGGTCCCTACGAAGAGTAGCACATTTCACTATTCGCGTGAAAGACTAGCACATTTCACTATTAGCGTGGAAGACTAGCACATTTCATTATTCGCGTCGAAAAGTAGCACATTTCAGATTCTCGCGTGGAAGACTAGCACATTTCACTAATCGCGTGGAAGACTAGCACATTTCAGATTTTTGCGTGGAAGACTAGCAC